GATAAATGGAAAAAATATCCTCGGGTGAGGGATAAAAAAAGAAAAAACAAAACAAAACAATAAACTGTTAAGACAGCAAAAGAGAAAACTGACCATGTCCCCTGAAAGGAAATAAAAATCTTAAGACAGAAAAGTCAGCCCCCTGGGCTCCTGGGCGGGGCTTCCCCCCTGGGGGCACAGAGTATCTCTGAAGGAGCAGGGTGGGGTGGGGGCCAGAAGAGACCGAGTGATGCCCCTGACCCAGCGGAGCAAAGAGTTGGGACCCACTTTCCCTGTGGCCTTCCAACAGCTCCGCCCTGCACAGCCCAGCCTGGAAGTGAGGGCAGCCGGCCCAGGGGCCAGGGAACGTCTGCTGTTCTGTCTGAAGTGCTGCATTCAGAGTACGGGGTCTACAGAGGCTCTAGGGGCTGATGCCCAGGAGCTCACAGCCTCTGCTTAAAGATCCCAGAGACCTCAAGTCCATCTGCCCTTTAGGTTCCACCTTGGAAATGGGGACTTGTCCTTCATGCCAGTGTGGTCTCAGGGAGACGCTGGAACGTCGCAGCAGCACCCACCTAACTTGAGTGTTTGCTGTGTTGGGAGAGCGCCCGTGGTTTCTCAGAAGCAGGCGGAGCTGGGAGCAGCACTGGGGAGGGGGTGGGCCTGGCCTTGGGCACATCTAGTGGTTTGGAAAGACAGCTCTGACCCCATGGGAGGAACCCTGGACCCTGGAGTAAGAGTGTTCCCTGCAGCACCCGCAGAGGTCCCCCTTCCCTGCGAAGACAGCAGGGCGGCCCTTGCACTGGCCTCCTGTCCTGTAAAATGTGGGCTTCAACCAGACAGATGTTCTCTTCTGGTGTGAACGTTCTGCAAACCCGTGAACAGTCCAGATGTATGATACCGGTGTCTGTTTCGCTTGTGGAGGTCATTGTGAACGGAGAAGTCTGGGCAAAGTGGCAGAAGTTAGACTGAAGAGTTCTCAACATGCCTGGGCTGTGGACGGGTGGGGATTCTGCAGGTTTTCTCTAGTTTTGGTGACTGTGGGTTCTGGGTCACACTGCAGGATCTTTGCTATTTCACTTGACTGAGGTGAAAGCAGAGGCCCTGGTTATCTGGGTCTGGCTACTTGGACACTCTGGCCTCAGAAAAACCTGAGTCCCTAAGCACTTTTTTTTATCCTCACCTGAGGACATTTTTCGATATTTTGTTCAGATAGAGTGGGAGGGAGGGAGGGGGAGAGAGAGAGAGAGAGAGAAACATCAATGTGAAAGGGACACATGGAGTGGCTGCCACCCACACGACCCAACAAGGGCCAGGGACAAACTGCAACCGAGGTACATGCCCTTAGCGGGAACCGAACCTGGGTCTCTCCGGACCGCAGGCCGACGCTCCAACCGCTGAGCCAAACCGGCCAGGGCTCCCTAAGCACTTTTGTATGAGTGAGAACCAGGGTGTGTTTCAGAGTAACTGGAAGTGCAGGGTTAGACCCCTCTGCCCTCCTCTTCCCTCAGGATTGGGTCACTCTCCTTCCTCCTACTCCAAGTCTCGAATTTGAAGGGCGCCTCAGAACAGAAACATCACAGAACCTATCCGCCCCCCTGAAAAGCTGTGGGCCAGCCTGCACCCTAGGCTGGTGTCTGAGACTCTGAATTCTTGTTTAAGTCCCTCAGGGCTCTGCAATTCCCACGGCCTAGGGGTAAACAGACCACACCACTCGGCCAGTAAACAAAAGGGGTCAGAGCCTTTTGTTCTTTTTTCCAAGTATGTTTGTTTGTTTATTTATTTATTTTTATTATTTTTTATTCTCACCTGAGGACATTTTTGCATTTATCTTCAGACAGCGGGAGGGAGAGAGGGAGGAAGAGAGAGAGAGAGAAAAACACCGATGTGAGAAAGACACATTGACTGGTTGCCACCCACACGACCCCAACGGGGGCTGGGGACAAATTGCAACCGAGGTACATGCCCTTAGTGGGAACTGAACCCGGGTCTCTCTGGTCCGCGGCTGATGCTCTAACTGCTGAGCCAAACTGGCCAGGGCTCAAATATGTTTCTATTAACTTTTTAGAGAGAGAGGGAGGGAGAGAGAAGCATTGATGAGCGAGAGATACATCAATTGGCTGCCTCTTGCATGTCTCCTACTGGGGATTAAGCCCAAAACCTGGGCATGTGCCCTGACCAGGAATCGAACTGGGACCTCAGTCCATGGGCTAAGGCTCAATCCACTGAGCCACACCTGCCAGGCCAAAGCCCTTTTTTCTAGCCAACATAGATCCTTTGTGTTTTCTCTCGGTAACTTCTCACCTGCCTGAATTGCACCCTATGGCATCCAGTCTCCTCCAGCTTTCAGAGCACCATGGGTCCTTCCACTTCCTTCTTTACTAAGGAGCTACAAACTACCACTTGAACTTCTTCAACTTTGCTCTTTGGTTTATGACTCACCTGTAGTTTCCTGAATCATCTCCTTCCTCCAGCTCTAGAGAACTGAAGTGTCCTTCCTAGTTTCCAAGGTTGACTCTTCCTTGCGTTTCCTGCTCACCTGGGCCTAGATCTCAGGGTCTCTCTGCACGGGCTCGTTTACCTTGACCCGCAAGCTGACAACAACCTAACCTCTCTTTTCTCTCTTGCTTCCCCACGAGAGTTCCTGGATGAGTGCACACAAACCACCTGTGCGGTCTCACCTGTCCTCAGGTTCCAGCCCGTCCTCTCGAACCTGCCAGCCCTGGGCTGACACCACCTTGCCCTGCGGCACCCAGCATCCTGATCACCCCTCCTAGATAGTCTCAACCCCCCATGGGGCCCTCTCCTGATGCCCCTATTTCGCTTCCTGTTCTTCCACTAGAAATGCAGGAATTCTTTAAGACTCCATCATTCACCCTTGTCTCCTCTCCGCATTCTGTCACCTGATATACCTTGTTGTCATGGTAGCAGGGCTCCCAATCTAGTTCTCTAATCCCCGCCTCTTTTCAGATTGATTTCCAACATCTTGTGACCACCTCCACCTACCCTCTTCAGGCCCAAACCGCGTCCCATGTCTGTCCCTCCCCAACCCCAGATCTCTGTGCCTGAAATCCCAGCTCTACTAGAGGTACCGTCACTCTTCAGCTCTTGGAGATTCTCCACTTCGATACACTGCATCCAGCAGGCTAGCCAATCCGCAGGATTCTGGTAAGCTTCTTACACAGACTGCAGTTTCAGAACTCAAATTTTAGTCTGGGCCAGAAAACTGATGCTGACATTCCTGGTCCATCCCTTTATAAACACACTATATATATGGATTAGGGGACTGTGAAGAAAAGGACATTTTGATTGTCGCAAATTACATATCACTTAAGCTGCTTGGTCAAAATAAAACTCTTACGTTTATGGTTTAAACACTTTTATTTCCATTTAGAACTGTTGTAGGAACATAAATGCAGGGACTCAGAAAAGTGACATTGGAATGTATTCACAATTTTGTGCTCATTTCCCTAAATTTTTTCCTTTCTAACCCTAAACTCAGTGTAGGTTTATGAATCAGGACTTCAGAGTCAGGTTTTCCTTTGGAGAGGGGGGTGTCAAGTCAGACAGTTTTTTCCTCCTTCTTGTATTTCAGTTTGAAAATTAGGCCCAATCTGTTACCATTTACACAAAATCAAAGGCCTAAATGTTCTTTTCTAGGCTTTAGGAAACTAAACAGCTCGCTGATGCCCCCCTCTGGCACGCTCCCTGTGCACAGAACACAGGAAGTTTTCCTTTAGGGGGTCTCATCAGCCTGAGAGATTTCTGGGTGTCTTGACAAGAGGTGTGGGTGTTCTCGGGCATTCAGACTCCTGCAGTGGGTCGCTGCAGTTTGTGTCAAAATCCGCAGGAAGTGAGAGCGGGCCAGGCTGGGAACTCCAGCAAGGCGAAGACATGAACCCGAGGCTGAGACGCTGGGCGTGTGGGAGGGTGTGTGCATGGTGGGGGCAGGAGGGATGTTCTGGGGCAGTAGGTGTGTTCTAGGGCAGTGGTTCTCAACCTTCCTAATGTCATAACCCTTTAATACAGTTCCTCATGTTGTGGTGACCCCACAACCATAAAATTATTCTTGTTGCTACTTCATAACTGTAATTTTGCTACTGTTATGAATCGCCATTGGAAATATGTGTTTTCCGAGGGTCCTGGGCGGCCCCTGTGAAAGGGTTGAGAACCGCTGCTCTGGGCGGTGACTGACGAAGGGAAGAATGGCTGGTGGCAGCACCCCTGGGAAGGTGGGATCTTGGCAGCTGCAGGGAACTGAAAAAGAGGCTGAAGAAACCAGAAAACCCGAGGGTGCCTCCAAGCTCTGCCACTACAAGTGTGGTCCTATGGTCACACCATCTGCACTGACCTCAATTTCTATTTTCTAAATTAAAGGACTGCGGTGGAGGGTCACTAAGGCTCTCCTTGGCCGGAAAAGGATCTCTGGAATATAATCTCAGTAGGAGAAAATCGCGACCATAAAACAATACTTTTTAATTTAGGCCTCACACGGCAATCCCTACAGGGGTGCTCTCGGCCCCCCATCCTCTGGGAGAGAAGCAGAAGTCACAGGTGGGCGAGGATTTTGCCACCGGTTTGGCTTTACTTCAGTAGGTGCTGTTTGAAGGTGAGAAGGAACTAGGAGACGGTGTATTTTGGGGTACTTGCTCTTTCCTCAGACCTTTCACAGGGAAGTGCAGCGGGTAGACTCAGATTTGCCTCAGGTCGCACGTGACCGCACCGTCTGCACACTCCCAGTGAATGCAGTCAAGGACATCCCCTCTGCTGCCAACTGCCCCTGCAGCCTGTGCTTGGGGACCAGCTGGGCTCCCAGGAAGTCATCTCAAGCCTAAGAATGGGGCTTCACAGGCTAGTCCTACTTGTAGGAACAAAAGCATGTTTCTCACTTCAAAAAAAGCACCTGAATCTTCTGAAGAAAGATGAGTAGTCAGACAATTTTTTTAGGGGAGCGAGGTGGCAAATAGCACAGCCTAGAACAAAGTTTCATTTAAGTCAGTCTAATAAAAAATATTGAAAAGTAATGCACATTAAAAACTTTATTGTAAGTATCATACATGTCCAAATTTACATCAATTTGATACATTTCTGCTCATTTCACAGAACACAATCGTTGTACAATTTCCTTAAATCTCAAGAGTCACCTGCTTTAGCTCTTTGCTGGCTCACCCACCTCTGGCCTTCCCCACTGTCTCTGTGATGGCATCCTCTGCGGTCGACTCTGCCTAATGCCCAATCCTGGTCAACCCCTGGGCCAGGAGACCTGACCCTATTGCTTCAGCCTGCCCACTGTTCTGTTTTCTCTTTGTCCTATTTCTCACCCCTAACCTGAGTGGATAACTGTGGATACTTTAAGCAAAATTAACTCCAAGTAAGTTTCATGGAGTATTCCAGAACCTAGGCCTGGTGATTGATCATCACTTTTTAATGGAAGTGGAGAGAAGGAACTGGGAAAAATTCCCTGGACAGGAATGAGCTGGAACAGTGTAGGATTCAGTTCTCTGTTTCTCCTGCATCAACTAGGCCTGGCCAGTACTACAGGCAGCAGACAGGTACTGCTCACCTCCTAGGAAGTGTGGACAATGAACAGCCAATGAGGTTTGAAAATTTAAGAAAAAAAATAGTTATGAAAAATGTCCGTAAGGGATAACCTGACATGTCCTTTCTGAATAGCATTCTCCTATCTCCTTTTAAGGCATTTATGATGAGATATAATGTAGGATGATGCATTATTACAGAAAGAACATTATCACAATAGCAGTAATTTCCCATCCAGAGTGCCATTCAACTGCTTGCAGAGAGCTGTAATTTTAATGCATTTTAAACACATTAGGAACGAGTGATGGTTCTCCAAACTAAGGAAAACACCAATAAAAAAATAAAGATAGAAAATACATGCTAATTTAATGGCAAACTTGTTTGAGAGTATCAAAACTTATTTTCAATACCTGAACAGTAACGACCTTGGAATTGGGGAGGGGGCAGCGGGACCCGCTCTTTGCCCAAGGGACACCGAGAAGGCCAGCCAGAGTGCAGGGTTCTCGGGCTGATGCGGCAGCAGGGCCAGCCCGCTGTGGTCAGCGGCGTGGCTGGCCCCAGTGTTGCCTGCGGGGGCTGTCAGTGCTGCAGCAGGATGTTGGTAGCCACGTTAAGGTCATTATTTGAAGCTCTCAGGGCTTCCAAAGCATCGCCTCTGGAAAATCCCATCTCCATGAGCCGGGCAACCTGAACAGAAACAAAACCAGAAACCTGATAAAGTTTATGACACTGCTGGCCCCAAAATCTAATTTTCATTTCAGTAAAATCTGATGTTCAAAAAATAATAACAGACACAACATTTAAACATGCTTACTACATACAGCCAATAGCTATGCACGATTCCATCTAGCCCTCCTTTTATTTTATTTATTTATTTATTTATTTATTTATTTATTTATTTATTTTTATCCTCACCCGAGGATATTTTTCCATTTTTTTGTACAGATAGAGTGGGAGGGAGAGAGAGGAAGGGAGAGAGAGAGAGAAACATCGACGTGAAGAGACACATCGAGTGGCTGCCACCCGCACGACCAACCAGGGCCGGGGACAAACTGCAACCGAAGTACGTGCCCTTAGCGGGAACCGAACCCGGGTCTCTCCAGACCGCAGGCCGACGCTCTAACCGCTGAGCCAAACTGGCCAGGGCTAGCCCTCCTTTTAGAGATGAGGACGTGACTTCCAGAATGAGCAGAGGTGGCTGAGCCCTTGGGACGGAGCGGGCAGCAGGTCTGTGGAAACAGCCCCACGCCCACGGCTCACATGATCCTTTGGGGTGGGGGGGTCCCGGGATGACCGACAGAGCTGCACTCCCTTCCACCTCCGAACGGCGGCTGAACTGAAGACGACTGCCTGATGCTGGCAGACGCTGGCAGGAAAGGTCCTCCGGGCTGGGCACCGCACAGCAGGGCACGCCCTGCGGATGCCACCGCTTCACATTCCACGTTCGTTCTCTCAACCGCTGCGAGTCCCGGCCCAGGGGTCTGCAGGCAGCAGCAGCTATGTGCGAAGCGGGGGTGATGCACGGGCAGAACCGCAGGGAGGGGGCAGCTGAAGCCACAAGGGTAGGGAGGACGAGGCTTGCATTTTTTAAAAACCACAAATCCTGAATCTGTGAATATAGAGGTTTCCTGTACTTTTACATACAGGCAGTCTCCAATGTCAAAACTGGCAGAGATACTAAAGTTTATTTGTAGCCTATTTTCCCATTTAAAAATGTATGATAAAAATAGGAAGAGCCATGAGCATCTATTTTTTTGTACTTATATTAAAATAGACTACATTTGCAATAGAGAGTAAACAATGCTACTCTCACAAAAGTTGAGATGTCAACGTGCTGATTAAGGGGGCTTCTGTGGGCTGACTGAGGACTCAGTCGCCACTGGCAATCTTCCCTGTGGAAAATGCTGTGCTGGATGCTGCCCAGGGGAAAGAGAATGCCCGATACTGCCCTCCTCCCTCTCCTTCCCCTGCTTAGGGGAGTCACGGTGTTGTGGGAGCGTGGGGTGGGTTGTGGGGTGGCTGGAGAGAGCAGGTGTGGGAGGAGAGGAAGGTCAGAGTGAAGAGGGCAGCTGGCAGGGGTGAGGACGGAATGGGGGTAACTTCTTGGAGACCACCCAGCCCAGCCCAGCCCAGGCCCCTCGTTCCTCAAGGAGCCTCAGTGGAAAGGCTACCCAACCAGGAGAGCACGCAGGGGATGCTTCTCAGAAGCTGGGGTTCTAGCCAATGTTTTTCAAAGTGAGACTGTGACCCCTCATCAGTGGGTCAGGAACAGTCAGTGGGTTAAGATGAGGTTAAAGCTGCACGAGGTGAGGGTCTTCCTTCCAGAGAGCTTCACTGCGGCTTTATTCACAAACATGTCAGCAGCACGATGCGTTTCCCGCCGTGGGCCGTGCTCCGCCGTCTACTAAAGGACCAGTCAGTGCCTGGGGCCACTTCCAGCTCAGCTCCTCGGCTGACGGTAGCGCGGACAGAACAGAACGGAGGGAATCTGCGTTTCACTTCCCGGTCAAGGAAACAAGCGCCCTTTCCAGAGTATCAGGAACATTCTTCGCTCACTGCCAGGATGCAGGGTTCCTCCTCAAGCAGAGCAGAATCTGCTGCTCACTAGTTGCCATCCCTGGGGAGGCAAAAACCTTGATTTTCACCTTTTGAAGTAACAGAAAGCAACACGATTCCCTTCTCTGCGGGAAGCTCTTTGAGTGTCTGAAGGCGGTCCCCCTCCCTCCGCCCTTGGCTTCTCTAGGCCAGCACCCCACTCCTGGTCCATCCCCGGCCATGCGGCACTGTCTCCCACCTTCACTGGAGGCGTTTCCTCTGCTGGAGGCTCTTCCCTGTGTCCTTGGCCTGGTTAACTCCTCTTCATCCATAGGATCTCAGGGTGCTTGGCCATTTTCCATGTCTTCCCGACTAGGAGGGACCCCAGAGTAGAAGTCTATGGCTTCGCTGACCGCTGGTCTGTCCTCATGGCTCTAACTTTTACCTGTATTTACAGGGTCGACCACTTCTCCCTGCCACTGCATCGTGAGCCTTCTGAGAAGAGCCCTGCTGCTCCTGTTCACTCCTGTCCCGGTATCCAGCCCCTCCCAGCGCAGCCCCTCCCCTCCCAATGCTCGCCCGTTGATGCCATCTCGGAGTACGGGAGATAACCAGACGGTACTGTCGGCACGTGTGACGGGACGAAGGGCTGTTCGACTGCTGTCTTCCTGGGATCACAACCCTTATTACAGTAGAGGAATGCGTTGGCAGTGGGTACATGTGTGTATTTGTGTGTACACATGCCCTTTTGTATGTAGCTGCATCATACTGAGGTGGCAAGTTGGGGCCTCCTAAAACCCTCAGGTGTTTTCACATAAAACGCTCTCGAGCCAGTGTTCTCACATCACCCTGTACGTTTATACTGGATCTTCCAGGTTTAGGGCCGTACACACCGCTGTTACATTTCCTCTGATCATTTAGTAGCCAAACCAAACTACTTTCAGTTTAAATTCTGTGTCTCCATGTTAACCAGCCCCCTCAAGCGATATTATCCCCAAATTTGATGAGCAAACCTCTATGATGTCATTCAAGTTATTGTTGATAAAAATTCCAAGCGGGTAAGATCAAAGATAGAGCCCAGAACTCACTACAGACCTCCTTTCTTTCTATTTTTATATATGTTTTTATTGATTTTTTTAGAGAGAGGAAGGGAGAGAGAGAAACAATGTGAGAGAGATACATTGATAGGCTGCTTCCCATACGCCCCCTTCTGGGCATCAAGCCTGCAACCTGGGCATGTGCTCTGACTGGGAATCGAACCGGGGACCTCTCAGTCCATGAGACGACCCTCAATCCACTGAACCACACCAGCTGGGCTAGAGATCTAATCAAACATCTCGTTAGAGATCTTTAACCAGTTTCAAATCCACTTTGTATTATTACCCACATCTCTCTTAAGGTGAGGAGATATTGTCAAATGTCTTGGTGACATCCTGTGTCAACAGGATCAATTTGGTGCCTTCAGACCACAACACTCTCTTGAATGCTCATTATCTGTTTGATAATCTATTTTAGGCTTCTGCCAGACATGAAACATCATTTTGCCATGCAAGTCCAGAATCCACTCTTCCCTTTCCTTGGGGACATTTCAGACTGAGTACTATTAACTTGCTTCCTCTAGCCTGATCAGGATTCATGTTGAATGCATGTCAATGAGGAAGAAACCACTTCACTGACCCAGGACCGAAATAACCTTTTATGATGTTTATTCTGACTACTTCAGTTAAGAACTCTTTAGTGAAGTCAACACAGCCCAGTGAGGAGCTGGGCAGCTCTGCCTGCCCTCTCTGTTACACACAAACACCACACCAGATGCCACACCTTGGGCAATTCTTAATGACTGAGCAGAGTGGCAAACACGACATTACCGCCTCTTTGTCACCTTTAGCACTTTAAGCATAGCTAAGGACCGACAAGCTGCTTCTTTGCACCTAGCCAGCAAAAACTCATCTATTTTTTCTGTAAATCATGCTTTAAAATCAGCAGCTAATCCAGAAGCTGCTGCTGACGGGTGGGCCACACAGGCCACCAGGGCAGAGCAGTGGCACCGGCTGCCCTGCAGGCCTAGGACTTCAGCACCGGCCCTCAGGTCTGGGATGTGTGTCCTGGGTCAGGTGAGTGACATGCAGTGTGAGAAAAGCTTTTCCTGCCTGTGAGGGTTCTCCTGAGCTCATTCTCCCTCACACCACAACCACACGTGCAATGTTGCTAGTTTGGACTGAGCCAGGTTCTTCATAGGTCTTTCGAACACTTGCACAGAGAATCTTTGCTGTCACAAGCTTGCAGCGCTGGCTGCTTGCTCCGAAGGCTGGCAACCAGGTCCCTTTAGCCAAGGCCGGCATCGGAGCTTTCTGAGGTTTTAGGGGTGAGAAGACAAGTGTGATCAGAAAATTTCATTGCTGGTACTGCGACCAGATGAAGAAACTTATGAAGTAGAAATAGTGTTAACATGGTTTTTCTTTTCAAACACTGAACAATTACATTAAGAAAGGATATCTGGCCCTGGCTGGTATGGTTCAGTGGTTAGAGTGTCAGCCTGCGGACCGGAGAGTCCCGGGTTCAGTTCCCGCTAAGGGCATGTACCTTGGTTGCAGTTTGTCCCTGGCCCCAGTTGGGGTTGTGTGGGTGGCGACCAGTCGATACGTCTCTCTCACATTGATGTTTTTCTCTCTCTCTCTCCTGTTTGATCTGAAGATAAATGCAAAAATTGTCCTCTGATGAGGATAAAAAAAAAAAAAAGAAAGAAAGAAAGGGTATCTGTAAGTTTCCCCTAGTGTCCAAGCTGTAAACACCCACGGAAAATAAAAGTGCATATTTGGGCTTGGGTATGTGGAGAATAACTAGCCAGAAAGAGGAGGAGTAAAGAAAGATGGTTCTGAGGGAGTTTCTAAATGCTCCAGCCCGCAGAGGCCCTTCTCTGGGTGGTTCTATGGTTCACAGAGCAGATGATAAGGACTGAGCATAGCCCAGAAGCACAAAGAACAGCATCTGCAGCTCTCACAATTACTGATGTGGACCTTAATGCTTGTCTGTGCTGAGAGGCCCATCTTGCCTAACCCTAGTGCAATTTGTTACTGTCTCTGTGTGAAATGCTTTGCATGAGTTTCTGTGCTCAAACAGCAGAATGAGAAAACTGAGGCCCTTGCAGACCT